GGGCAAATTTTCAATTTTTGATTAAAAAGTTCTGATTTGTTAATTAGTGGGGGAGCTATAAATATGGTTGGCAATTTTTTTTATCTCTCAAGTTAGCTAAAACATCAGAAAGTAATATAAACATCAGCTCTGACTATGAAAAGCCTATTTCTTGGGGCCAGCCTGGTGGCATAGTGGTTAAGTCTGTGTGCTCAGGTTTGGTGGTCTGAGGTTTGCAGGTTCAGATCCCAGGCGTGGACCTAGCACTGCTCATCAAGCCACACTGTGGCAGCATCCCATGTAAAATAGAGGGTGATTGGCACAGATGGTAGCTCAGCCACAATCTTCCTTAAGCAAAAAGAGGAAGATTTGCAACAGATGTTAATTTAGGGCCAATCTTCTTCACCAAAACAAAAACAGAAACAAAAGAAACCTGTTTCACAAACCCAAAAATTGGACACTGAATGCGTGTATGCTTAGATATAATTTTTTACACAGCTATTTTCAAAGTGTCTATACTAACTGATGTTATAAATACAGGAAAAAATATAGTTGGACATAAGTTAGGGAGAATTCCGTGTGTGTTGTGTCATTTAAACAGTGAGCATTTCCTTTGAAATATTTAAAAATAACATCCTGCATCATTTTAATTACCAAATTGTCAAAGGTTATAGTCAGACACTGTGGGTCAAAAGAACGGTCAATCACGTCCTCATGTAGAAGCTGTGGGCATGGAAATGGGGCTATCCTCTCTGGAAGGTGATTCGGCAATGTGCCTGAAATTGCAAAGCTGAAAAGCCTGTGACCCAGTAATACCGTTTCTAGGAATCTATCCTAAGTAACTAATTATGAATGTGCTTCAGGTTTTAGCTAAGAATGTCATCACAGCATTACTTACAACATCAAAACAATTAGAGATAGCCTATGTGTCAAATATCATATATTGGTTAAGAAATTTATGGTGCAATCATATAATGGAATTCTATGTTGCCATTAAAAATGATACTGTTCTATGCTATATTAGTTGATGTAAAAGATGCCAATGATATCTAATTTTAGTGAAAAGAGCAGGTTACAAAATGGCACACAGTGTAATTATGAGGATGTGTGTATACACATGGATGTGTGTGTGTCTATGTCGGTACACACATGCGTTGGAAATATCTCTAAGCATACAGAACAAAATGCTAACAATCATTATTTCTGAGTAGTGGCTGATTTATATTTCCTTTCTTTCCTTATCCATATTTTCTAATTTTTCTTTCGTAAACAAATATTAGTTATAATTTTTAAAAATTTAACTGTCTTAATTTAAAAAATATTTTAAAAATGTATGACATCGCATAGAGGAAATGATTGGTGAGGGCAGATAGGTGCATGGACACTCAGCACTCAACTAGTGTTGGGCATTTTCCCCCGTAAGAAAGGGTAGGAAGCAGCAGGAGACAGTGACAGGGCCAGAGTTTGGGAAGAATTTTAGAGCATCACTTGGGCAGCCCACAGGGATTTTCATAAACCAAAAGAGCAAATTAACACGCCCTCCTATGTGACGGTGGTGGGATAAATGGTCTCTTCCCTCTGTATTTTTCTCTGTATCTATATCCCAGAAATAAAATATTTCTTTCCAAGAAGAGTCTTCAAATCTTTAAAACCTGTAGGTGATCTTGCATATGACCTCTGTTCTGCTTGTCTTTCTCTCTCCTTACTAGTCTGTGTGTAACCTTACTGAAAGATTTATTTGCTCCTTTTTTGGAAAAAGACATGGCCTTCAATCTGGAGGATTTAATTATTCCCTGTGGTCTGTCAATTTGTTCTAATTTCTTCCCTTTTTGACACAGTGTCATCAAATTCATGACTTTTTTTTTTAATATCCAACAAATGTCTCCTGGTATTTTTGTCCTTCCTTCCTTCTTTCCTTCCTTCCTTCTCTCCTCCCCCTTCCAATAGAACCAATAATAACCCTCCTCATGCAAATCCACCCTCCTTATATCTCTGGAAAGCTATGACTGGGCCTTGGACAGCCATCTTCCTTCAATGATTCCTCACTTATATTTTTAGTATTCTAAGACTCTGGCATTCTATGCATTATTAAAATGGTAAATAGTAAGGCATTCCCCAGGGCACAGAGGCTAGGGAGCCCCTTCAGAGTCAGGGGTAGGCCAGGAAAGCTGCGGGCTCCTGAGAGGGAATGTGAGCTTGATGAGGGTCCTTCTGACTGGTCACCTCACCTGCAATTCCCCCATTGCACCTGTCAGATCGTTGGTGGCATGCTCTCAATTTGTCCCACCTCACCCATCCCCTAGCTACTGCGAGAAATGGCTGATAACCACTTACAGCCACAGCCTTGGGGATGCGGGAGCAGGCTTCCCTTGGCCAATGGGAGCCACCTCCCCACCCAGACCTCAGCCAATGCCTGACTGACCGCGGGTACAAAAGGCCACTTCCCTCATCTCAAGGCAGAACTAACTCTGATGTAATTTATGCTTCATGGTTCCTTTGTTCGGCTTTTCCCCCTGCCCCATGCTGCTTCCCCCCGCCCCTTGTCTTGCGAGGATTCTCCAATAAATCATTTGAACAAAAATCTCCCACTCAAGCTCTGCTTCTGATCTAAAACACCTCCCATTTTCACAAATGAAGAAATTTGAGCTCAGAGTGATTAAACTGTTTGTCTCAATCACACAGTGGTGGAGGAATACAAACTCCAGTTCTATCTGACTCTGTTCAATGATTGCATGATAATTCCTCCTAGGGTTAGTTTTGATAAACAAGCTCCCCCTCTCCAAGGGGGTGTGGAATTCTAATGTCCTGGTGGGCAGCTAGTGGGGTTCCAATCCCAGGGTGCAGAGCTGGGAGATTGTAATCCAACAGGGGAGGCACCAGATGGTGAGTGTGAAGCATGAGCTGTCTTTATAGAGCAGGGGGCCAAATGGGCATGGTGCTGTCCCTCCACTCCCCACGACAAACTAGGGACAGTTTGGAAAGGTGTATCCATTATTTGATTGCCACCAAAGCTGTAGAAGAGTCCTAACATTTAACGAGCACGGCCAGGAATGTTAAAAAATCCTGTAACGTAAGGGGTGGTTTTGCTCAACAAAGAATTAGCGCCCCTGTTGAGAAACGCTGCAGAGAACCCAGGGTCAAAAAGTAAGCGAGCCAATTGAAGTGATCAAGTCCAAAGGGCAAGGGGATGACGAAAGAGAGAAGACAAAGCCAAAGAGCCAGGCAGCTCTGGGGCTGGTGCCAACCAGGCCGAAGGAATGGGAGGGAGGGTGGCTGCGGTGCCCACAGCTTGCACTTCTTAGCATCCACTCTGTGAGGCATAGTGAGTCTGGGCCACTTGAAAAGGTCAGGACAACAGGAGGGATCCAGGTGGATGTCATGGGAACCCAGAAAGAAGAGATTACATGGCATTAGAATCATTGTTCTTTTATTTATTCCAACAAGCAGAGAGTGAGCACTGTAATTTCCTGGTGCCGTAGTGAGCACTAAGAAAACCAAAACACATCTGACGATTTGGACTCCAGTCAATGCTAAGAAGTAGGTACAGAGATGATTTGCCATATTATAATTTTGGCTGCCCAGCATTTGAACCTTATCCTAGGTAGAAGTTCTTTACCTTTTAAGTCTTGCTGGGCAGGAGGTCGTCTCGCTTGGGAGAAGCTGGAAATGCTACATATTCCCTCTCCCGCCTCCCTTGCAGGCTGGCCTAGATAGCTGCCTCTGAGTTTTCATGGGGAAGTAGTTACCAAAGAGTAGAGGGAGAGGGAAGAAGTATCTTTTTGCCAGATGAATCCTGGGTGCTGTCTGGGGCCTTGTTTCCAGCCACATGCAACTAGAATCTGGATCTTCAGGCTTCCTGGCGATTCCGGGAACTACCCAACATCCTTTGAATAAATTCCTTTCTTGCTTAAATCAGCCAAAATTAGTTTTTATTGTGGGCAGATATGAGCACCTACCATGTACCAGTTGCTGGGAAAACAAAGAAATCACACAAAGGTCCTGTGTTCTTAGTCAGGATGATAAACAGATACCCCGACCAGATCAGGGAGCACTGCCTTGTGGGTAGAACCCAGAACCACGGAAACTCCAAATGGGAAACAATATGATAACCCACACTGGGACAATTCGTGGGGAGGCTAAGAGCCAGGGAGTCTAGTGTGAGACATTTACCAAAAAAAAAAAAGGACAAAACTCATGGACATTTTGTTACAAAGTGGTACGGAAATGAGTCACAAGATGCACCCAGCTCAGCCTGATCTTAGAAGGCAAATGCTGGGAACGGGGATTACCGTGGGACAGTGACTGTAGAGTGGCCTCAGATTTCTCTCTACTTTCCTGTGAAAACAGAGGACAAAGCAACTGAATTGCTGGCCCTGTTCATCCTTGATCCTTAACTTCCCAAAGATCGTCTTATTTCTTCCATTGTAAGTTTGAAGTCCTATGAATTACAGTATACAATCCAGATTGCTGTGGTTTGTGCCGTCTTGTATAAATTAAATAGCATTTTATTTTAGGGAGCTGGGGATGGGGAATGAGTTCACTGCTCAGATTCCTTCCTATGATGTAACTGTCGTTCATGGAGCCGCTCTTCCATGCCAGGCTGTTTCCCACATATCATCTCTAATTCTCAAAAGAACCCTCCAAGGAGGTATTATGAGGTTGGTTTCACAGGCGAGGCTAATGACTTGGCCAAGATCACGGAGCTGGTTGGTGACAAAAAATGTGAACCCAGGTGAATGTGGCTCCCATCTCACCTGCCTTCTGTGATGCACACCAGGGTGCCTCCTTCCCAGAGAGCATAAATCCACGAATCACGTGGCCTCCCCTAGGGATAATGTATTGGTCGATCCATCTGACTCCTACTCATTCCTGGTGGGTGCGCCTGAGGTATGTAGTGAGCATGCTTAAGGGGTTGATTAAGATCAGTTACACAATCAGGAAAGAGCAGTGGTGGGAATAAGTCATCTGATTTTTTAAAAAAATTCTATGCTTAAGACCCTGAATTGTCGGATGTCTTTCAGGCCAGCTTTCTCTGAATACTGATTAGTGCGGTTTTTAAATGAAGAGACAAACTCTGGGAGGTTCAGTAAGTACTTAACATCACACAGGAGGTAGGTGGGCTATCTGGATTGAAACTCACAGATTCCTGCCTTCAAAACTCAAATCTAGGGGTTCATGGGATATTAACCATGCATGAGCAATTCCAGCTATGTCTATAAAGAGTTACTTTAAAGTCCTTATCCATTTATCCACTGTTTCTTTACAAGTGCCTATTTTATGATGGGCAATATGCTCCTGAACAAAAGAGACGTGGTCTCTGCCTTCGTGGTGTAGGAGAAAAAATATCAAATAGGTACACAAATAAACATATAATTACAAACTGTGCTATGTGCTGTGATGGAAAGGCTCAGAAAGATGGGAGAGTGTATCACAAGGGGACCTAATTTAATCTAACAGATTAGGGGCGACTTTCTGGAAGCAATGGTAACTGAGTTAATACCAGAGCGATGAGTGTAGTTAGCTAGGAGAAAAGGAGGGGAAAAGGGAGAAGAAAATTACTGGCAGCATGAAGGGCATGTGCAAAGGCCCTGAAGCAAGAGGAAAAACTTTTAGCCTGTGCTCCTTAGACGCTGCAGGCCTGTGGGATAAATTTAGCTTACAGATGTTTGCTTTGGCTCACAGACTCTTCTGGAAAAATTTGAGCCTCAAAGAGGAAATGTTGCATAAATATTCTGACTTCAAGCTCCTCTTGAAAAAACAGAAGATCTGGCAATCCTTGGCCCTCAGCGCTTCACGGCAGCAATGACAAGAACTGAGTATCTGACCAGTCTGGGTGGGGCAAACACTCTCCAGTCCATCAGTCTTGCTACTCCTCATTGTCTCCCCAACACCGAAGTCAGGCTTCAGTTCCCACTTACGGTCCTGTTTGCACTGCTGTTTTTCTACAGTGGAGAACTATTTCTCTGTATCCCTGTCTTGATCACAAATAAAAGACAGACCAAGAGAACCATGTGTTTTTCCCCAAACTCAGCCTGTACCACTCCAGCGCCATATTGCTTGGTGCCTGTGGCATTTAAATTCTCCCCACTCCTACTTTGGAGGTAACAGAATAAAGGCCACAAGATGTCCCTCTAACAGCCTAAACTATGTTGACTTTTTTCTAACTGCAAATGCTTAGTGAGAATGGGACACACTTTATGCCTGTGAACTCCACCACCACGGTAGGCACAAAGAGCTGAATGTGCCATTGATTTTTAATCAAAGATATAAACAATGCTGGTTCTATTCTGCTAAATGTAGGACTGCACCTGTTTTTAATTGCAACTCAATTTATTAAGCATTTGTACTATATTAAGCAAAATAGATGATAAGATAGCCCCCGCCCCAGAGAACATATGTTACTCATTCTTTCCCTTGTCAGATAAATTAATCTTGCCATCTCCAAAACACTGCTCATTCCATATTAGCAAGACAGCAGAAATTAATTTTGAACTTTTCCTAAACATTTATAAACATGTCAGGTAATGCAGCCATGTCTGACATGGTGTGAGAGTCCTGGACTGTGATGCAAGAAACCACTTTGTGTTACACAGTTAATGTGTTGCCAACAGACAGAGCGTAAACCACATCACGTGCTCAGGGCACCAGAGAAACTCACTGGGGGAACTTGTGATGAATCATTTTGTAAAGCAGAGAATTTGAATGTCAAATGCAAAATCCCTCCTTCATAGAACCTTTTTGCAAGAACGAAATATTCCATTAGGACTTAATGAAGTCCATTTGCATCATCTATGTGATATATACCTAAAATGTCAGTTTCCTCACCTGTAGCTAAAATTAGTTCATTTTTATTTGTCTGCCTTTTACATCCCAGTTTGTAGTTTTCACCTTGCTTTCTTTTCTTCTCTCCTTTCCACGTGTTGTCGGTGTGACTAAGGCCAGCTACAGATCAGAGCTTCAGCTCAGATTCCACCAGCAGAGGGTACTGTTTGAGCGCTTAAGTGGTCTTCTCATCTTTGTCTTACCCATCCAAAGAGAACAATATCTGAATAATAGCCTGGGATGATATTCAATAGGCACGGGGCTGGCAAGATAACATACATCAATGATCATGTTTCAGCATCATTTTACAGGACATTCCCTTTGTTCTCTGCTGCTCACAAAGAACACCCCGTGCAAAAAGCACCTGTAGCTGCTGATGATAGATGTGGACAAAGGAAGATGAAGACGGGTGGTGGTGGTGGAGTAGAATCTGCTTCTAAATTTACCAGATACTTACATCCATTATAGGTCTGGAGTTCTGAATCAAGATCTCAGCCCCATGTGTTCTCGGCTTGCTGGTGGATGATCATGAATAATTCCTGCAGGAGCAAGTGCCGGAGTAAAACAACCAGGCTGTCCCTGAACATTGTAAATCGATGAGCACAGATGTCTCCCAACGGAAGGGAGGTTTGAAGACGCTTCATGTCTTGTTGGGTTGGGAACACTTGAGAGTTAGTGACAGTCTGACAAACTAAAGTGAGCATCTCCCCATTCTGAAATCATGTTTAGCATTAAATGTAGTTAAATATATTGTGGAAGAACACTTTGTCACTTAATTTTTATATAAATTTGATCAATCGGTGTATAAGAGTGGATTAAACATTTCATAGTAAAATGTAGATGCTTGGATTTTTATCGTCATCATTTACAAACTTTTATCCAAGCAAAAATTGCACATGGTAACAACAAAAAATGATAGAAGCACGTATGCTAAAAAGCGATGGTGCTCTGCCCTACTCCTGCTTATCTTCAGTCTCTCCTTAAATGCAACTTTTACAGCATCTTTTCAGTTACTTATTTCTGTATCTCTAAACAATATTCTTATACTACTAATTCTTGGGTTATTAGTGTTAGACATTACATATTGTCTTCTTATGCTGCTAGATGAGAATGTAACTCGATTAAGTCACTCGGTACCTTCTGTTAGTCATAGTCCACTTTAGATCTTCATTAATTACCTATGTAATTTTAGAGAAAATTCTCATTCCTTTAGCAACTTTGGGTAAAATACTTATTCCTTTGACAATAGACAATTTCTTTTGAGTCCGCATCTTTTCAGTTCTTTCCCCCCTTCCCCCTCCCAATTTTTGTAATCCATACTTCTACAGTGTTAAAGGTATTGACATTTGCTTTCTGCTCTCTAGTCATAATTCTACGATCTTTGTCTATAGAATGATTCTAAAATTGTAAACCAATAAATGATGTTTACATTGGGGCTCAATATTGTTTATTGCAGTATCACATTGTTATTATGCTTCTTGTACAGCTTTTAACTTTTCCAGAGTTTCTAATTGCCTTTTTCTTTCTTATATGAGGGCCAGCCTGGCAGCATGGTGGTTGAGTTTGTGTGCTCTGCTTTGGTGGCCCAGGATTCACAGGTTTGGATCCTGGGCACAGACCTACACGGCGCTCATCAAGCCTTGCTGTGGCAGCATCCCACATACAAAATAGAGGAAGACGGGCACAGATGTTAGCTCAGGGCCAATCTTCCTCATCAAAAAAAAAAAAAAAATCAAACCCAAAAGTTTTTCTTCAGAGTTTTAAAGGCATTCTTTTTCTTGAACATCCAGTGCTACCGATGTGAAGTTTAATGCCAGCTTGATTCTCATTCTTCAGTGATCTGCTGTTTTCTTTCAATAATGATCCTGGATGGAGGCCTTTTTACAGCCACTGGTGGGCTATTCCAATCTGAAGACTTAAGTCTTTGCGGTATTGAAATCCTCTTGTATCACTCAAATTAACAATTTTCTCACCTCAATTTTTGGTATTCATTTTCCATAATTCCTCTTAATTATCTATTAGTCCTTTTCAAATAATTACCTATTTGATCCTTTTGTCTATTTTTATTTTATTTTATGGGAGATTTTCTTAATTTTTTTTGGGGGGGGTGGGGAAGATTAACCCTGTGCTAACATCTACCACCAATCCTCCCCTTTTTGGTGAGGAAGCCTGGCCCTGAGCTAACATCCGTGCCCATCTTCCTCTACTTTATATGTAGGACGCCTACCACAGCATGGCTTGACAAGCAGTGCCATGTCCGCACCCGGGATCCGAACTGGTGTACCCCAGGCTGCTGAAGCAGAATGTGTGAACTTAAGTGCTGCACCACCAGGCCAGCCCCATCAATTTTACACTCTATAATTTTTCTTTTGTCTTTTGACAATCATTTTTTAAGTCAAGTGTCCTTCTTAATCTCCGTTTGTTCTTCTTTCATAATGTCCTGTTCTTGTCTAAGGGATGCAGTGCATTCTTGAGTCTTTCTAAAGGTGTTAGAATGTCTGTAAAAACTTCTGTTCTTATCTCTTTACTTTGGAGTCAGTATTTTCTGTTTTTTTTTTTTCTTGGTCAGAGTCTCCCACATTAGGGGCTTTCTCAAATGTATGGAAATCTTTGGTTTTCTGTTCACATTTTAGGGTGAGGTGAATGCAATGAGTGGGGTTATGATTTACGGAGTGGCGAAATCAGCTGTCCCATAAACAAAATGTTGCTTGTTTTCCCCTATTTTTCAGTTTTGTGTCTCACTTCCACCCTGATGGTATCTGAATTTTCAGAATTCTGAGCATCTCAGTGGTTCTTCTAGGCAGCTTATCTCCATCTCTGTTACTGCACCACCCACCTCCTTTTCGTTTTCCTCTCCACTAACCTCTGGATGACTGTCATCTGTTAGCTTGTTTCCATCCTCTTGTCATCTTCTAAACTTTTGTTGAAATCTTTTATCAGTTAATGATCACTTCTTATTTATCTTTTGAGCTTGTACCTATTTGCATTCCTTTACTGACATTTAATGGTCTTTTGGATGGAAGAGAATATAAATATATGTGCACAATCTGCCATCTCTATCTGGAAGTCCATGTTAATTTTAAAAGGCACGTTTGTATGACCTGAAATTTCTAGATACATATTCGGTATTTATTTATAGCCCACATCAATTGTAGAAATGTATTTTCAGTGGACATGTTTAAGATATCTTTTAGCACATGTCATTTCTCTGGCCATTTTCTCAATATTTGAAGGTATAATACCAAATCAAACATTTATTTAATCCTTTTCAGGTATAAATTACTTCAAATGCTTTTATTTATTTTTTAAAACAGCACTCTGAAATAGGTATTGCCACGCTCCCATTTCACAGATGAGAAGTGGAGCTTCTGAGAGAGTCGAATGATGCTTAAGATCATTAAAGCTAGTGAATGCTGGCCTGGTATTTAGATCCAGACCTTTCCAGGCTTTTTTTCCTAAGTCACATCATGTCTCTTAGATATGACTTGATACAACCTGATAAATACAACAGCATAAATAAGTAGATAATTTAACCTTTGTCTACAGAACAAATTTCTACTTCCACAGGGCTTCGTGTGTAATGCTTTAGATTCAGTCTTGGCTGTAGTTTTAAAATAATATTTAAAACTAGTCCTGAATGTTTGGTAAGTTTGTAGCATTCTTAACTTCTCCCAGTGGACTTCATGGATACCTTCCTCTGTGAAAGTATGTCACGTTGCATAAAGGAAAAGCTGTTGTTTCAAAGACTGGGGGAAGGGCTAAGGAACAGTCAGACTCTTCTAATTGTCTTCAACTGTCATATATCTTACTACATTTTAGGTCAGATAATTTGGCTTGTAATATTCAAAACTGTATTAATTATGGGATTTTATAATGAGGTTATGCAGTATATGTTTGCCAATTGGGAAAGAAAGATAATTATGCTTGAATGTAGGTCACATTTAAGAAACTCTCTTAGGCCTGATGGGAACCATGTTTCTTTAAAAATCAAGAATTAATGATATTCAAGAGAATGGTGTCTCTCATTCCATGACCCAATTCTTCTGGTCAGAGAGTTTTCTTGGTGGGTGTTCTTAGGACGAGAAACTTGCATAATTTCTTAGAGGGCAGTTTGGGCCAGCTGTGGTAGGAGCTGACCTGGATCTTGTTGGTTATAAGAAACTGGTGGATAAAGTATTACCCATGGGGACGTTTATGGGCACGTTTCTAGGGTTGATATCATAAGTGGGTAATTCTCCTACCTGCCCACAAAATGTTTTATGCTAACTTCTATATGAGAAAGAGATTTTTGTCTACAATGTGATTGCCTTAGTCTGTGCCCTTGAAAAATTGCTGGTATGTTCCAACTCTCAATATCTTTTATTTTTTGGGTTTTTTTCCAGAGCTGTTTTGGTTTCAGGATTAAAATGGGAGTGAACACCACTCAAAACTAAGAAGTTTGATGTAAGGAGTATATTGATATAGTTTTTGTAACATCCAAGGAATCTCTGTTGTACCTAATTAACCATCTTGACTGAGGCATGAAAAAAATGGTCTGCGTACAGATTTCCCAGCCTCTGCCCCACCCCATCCCATTCCACTCCCAACCCACCAGGAGAGAGGCTGCAACAAATAATAGACTGTTTAAAATTCATTGCATGGTCCAAGAAGAAACACAAAGCTTTCTGATGGCGTAGCTGGATTTCCTTGGAATGGTGGATAGTTTTACAAGATATGTAGCAAGATAGATCCCAGCTCCCAATATCCAGAGCAAAGCTTTGATTCCGCAACTGTGGTTTAAGAGGTTTAGTGGTTTCACTTGTGTTGGGGTTGGGGCAGACTGCTTTTCGAAAGAAAGAGAGAGAAAAGAAGAGATCTAAATTTTACATTACAATTTTAACTGGGCTGGGATTTTGTCAGTTGACATGTATCTATTTTCAGTTATTGTTTTCATCTTTGCCTTACCTTATCGCAAATGGAATATTATTGTTAACCAGTCAGCTGATGAAACATTCTGAGGATGAATTTTATAGCCTGTATTTCTCTTCATCTCTTTCCCATCATTAAAGAATTAAGGTACTTGAACAAGCTGTGTTAAGGAACTAATAATATCATAAAACATATTGTACTTTAAGATTATTGGGCATTTTTCGATGCCAAGCTTTGGAAAGACATATGATGTGCTAAGGATGACTGGGGCAGTGGGAGGAGCTAGGTCCTGAAATAACCCTCCTGATTCGGTCCCCTACCCTTTCAGCTAGCCAATATTTGATCTGCAAGAATGACACTGAGTTAGCCACTTGGTTTATATTTTCTCTCTCTCTCTCTCTTTTTTTCTTTATCTACTCCCCATCCTCATGGCTATTTGCGTGAAACTAGTTTCCTCAGACTAGTTCGATTACATCTCTTAAAGGCAGGTCTCAGATCTTTTTCTCCATTGGCATCTCCATGCAATTTGCATGCTGGTTACTGACCATAGTGAAGGCTCATAGCAAGCTGTAGATGACCTGATGCAGCTCTTAGCTGCATCTTACATATTTGGGCCAAAAAAAATCCTGGAATCCAGAATTGAGAAAATATAGTTCTTCCTAGGTCTATTCAGGCCTATCTAGCAGTGAATTTTCACTTGGGAGTTCTTTTGTGATGATGCATGAGTGGTGTGCCAATTACTCTGGGTTTTGAGCTTTATGTGAATAAGAAAGTCTGAGATCAGCTCTTATGAATAGGTGAGCTGAGGTGTAGTAATCCAGCCGCTGCTTGTCTTTGGGGTGTAGTATGTTTGGCTAATCCTATTGACTATAATTCTAACTGGGTGGCTCTTGTTAAATCTTTGAGGAAAAGATGTAATCTTCAGGC